CTATCTTACATTATTCATTTTGAAATTATTTTTCTCTCAGCTAAATAAAGATTATGAAGAGTAAGCAAAAACAATTTAGTTTAATTATTCAAATCATTCAATCTTCATCTTGGTGTAAATCAGTAGAACTGAACAATTATTGCTTTAGTGACCTTATGGAAGAATATATTGATTTTCTGAACGGAATGTGTTTTGTTTTTCAGAAGCTTTATAAACTGAATATATATGTCTATTTAAATATGTAGACAAGTCATTGATTAGCTGAGATTATTATGATCATCAGAAATGAATGTAATAATCATGACAGTAATCAAAGTTTAGTTCATTATTAATAAACTAAAGCCAATTTGAGTGAATTTCGTTCACCTTAATACGAATATGAACTTGGAGAATACACAAAATACACTGTTCTAATATGAATTACTCTCACTGTGACAGTTTATATTTATCTAACCTATTGAAAACAGAAAAATGTCAGAATTACTAAAAGAAAGGGTTAGGTGATGGATTAAATGTTTGCACTACATACAGATGACTAATCTTTCAATATGTGTAAATGAAATTAATTTTAATGCCAAATTTTAATAACATTGAAACATATGTAGTATAGGATAATATGAATACTCTATAAATCCAAAAAAATGAAAGCGGCTTGAGACCAATAAACTTGTTAAAAATATTCGTAAGTTTATGGTTTTGTTTTTGTGAGAACTAATTCACATTTAATTGCTAAGGATAATGAATTGGAAGAAAATATAAAGGTGGAGTTTTTCTTCTTGAATTTCTCTTACTTTAATTATGAATTTATATCAAAGGCAACCTCAAACTTAGACAATTTCAACACTCAGGTATTTCATGGACTGGAGACATATTTTGATTTGACTGCCCCTACCTTTCTTCTAAATTGATCCTAAACCATAAAACATAGTACATCGTTTTAGATAGTATCCTAACTGCCATGATCAATGCAGGTTCAAAAACTCAGAGACTAATTTACTATCTTTACTAAATATTTCTGGTTGTGTAAATTGTTATGGCTTCCTAATTTAAATCTTAGCAGTAGAATCACCTTCACAACACCCCTTCAACTGAACTATGCCTCAAATTAGCTGTTGTTAGAAAAATATACTCACTCTAATAACTGAATGGTAATATAGTTACACTATAAGACTTGAGAATTTTAAGAGTCCTTACTGTATAACTAGTGCTATGTCTGTTTGTTTTTGCTTTTTATAGTGGCCCTGGTTTTTTGTATGCTCTATTCAACCGCCTAACAATTTTATTTGGTTAGACCTAGTTGGGAGTTGATGGCGTTGAAGATCAGATCATCTATAAGTATTAACATATGAATAGTTCTAAAAAAATTGTTTCCAATTTCATTGGCTTAGAGAAAGTAAGTAAACAACATGGCATAGCATTTATTATGTTAAATACAGCATTAATACTACTGTGATTATCATTATAATTATTACTAGTATTAGTTTGGAGACTACTGTTTCCCATAGATTTGTAAAATTCCTATTGAATTTATGGAGAAGGTAGCATTTAAATGAATCTCACTACTTAAACCAAATTAAGTAGTTTCTAATCATAATTTTCTATCGAGTTGAATCAATAACATATATTTTCTTCTCGCCATTAAATTACGGATATTTGTTGTAGCTCATTAACTCTACTATAATTTGGGTTGTTGGAAAAATGCTACTGTTTTGCATTATGTTTTTTCTGACATTAAATGACTAAGTATAACCAATTTTTAAGACTACTCTAACGAATGGATTGATAATAATTCTTCTTGCAAAATGACCATATTTCGATAAGAGGGCTTAGAGTTAAACGCAGAGCGTGCTTTTCATACTGTTTTAAACTCGTTAGCTGAATACATTAGCATTGAAACGTTAATGTCCCTACTTAAAAGTGAACCCAATAGACATCGACTAAATTCATAATAAATCGCACATACATTAAACAACTTCACAGCTATCGTGACCAAGTCACGAAAAGTATAGAGCTTCAGTGTTCAAAATATTGGGTATTGAGTTAATGTCTTAACACCAATGTCGGCACTAGTTAATGTACTGCTAAACGGCATGCTGAAAATAAAACGACCCACGGATTCTGGATTCCACTGCTGAATTACAACTATACTAAAACATGTTCGACTTTTTTGTTACCAAGGTTGCAATAAACTGAAATATAATTGCACCTTATGAATACAAAAATTAGAATAGTTATATGGTAAGAAAAAGATGACAAGGAAAATACGTACGAAACAATTGTCTAATGTTGCTTAATTTTAGTTACGTCTTATTAACTTTAGATTCAAATACTTATATAAAAACGCCTCCTATACTCTGCGTTAATGTACTAAACTGATGAAAAGGCTAACAATGAACAGGAATCCGTATTTGAAAACCAAATGAAATGTACATTAACCAATAATACATATATACGTCCGTCACCCAGATATATAAGCTAAGACCTGATAGTGTAAAATCAGCATTATCCAGCAGCGTGCCTCGTTTTTCATCTTTCACTTAGAGCTTAACCTCTAGATAGTATATGAGCGCATACATATGACATGTCTGATTTTACCCAGCCTAACATCTCCCCGTTTCTGAAAACAGATCCTCACTTCGGGGTTCAGCTGCATGAGTTGAGGTGAGGAACGTTTTCTTTACAATTTTCTTAGAGTCTGCATACTGTCTTTGATTTCTTGAATTAACTAGTTCTCAACAAACTAATGGGGAACAGGTGCTCCCTTTGTTGCCATATACTCTCTAGGTTGTATGTAGTTCATGTGTCTCAGATGTTGTCTTCGCGAGTTCATTCTCCAAATCATGTCACTAACGCTCCTCATAACGATCCCCAAAATTCGAGTACCCTCCCACTGTGTAATGTTTCTTATGCACATTGATCGCATAGGAAGCTGATGTTTAGCACTTCTAGCCTTTACTTTCCTCAAGTACAACACAACGACAGGGGTGAGGATTTTCCTTCTCAACATTAATTCATCTGGGGAGACACTGTCTAATATGTTTGGGTTCGGTGGTACCCTGTACATTTTCAAGAAATTTCGGATAATTTTACTATGTCATAATTTCAAATATCGTTACTACCTCTACCATTCATGGATTTGCCCTGACAACATCTCTGTGCTAATGGGTATGGTGACTTGAACCGATGTATATACGTACACGCTCTACGTTGTGACCAAACGATTGACTATGTGATGACGGTCTTTTCAACGTGAAAAAATGTGACTGAACTTCTCCAGTCTCCATTCTGTTCTGTGAGGCCATCTTTGTTAGAGACATCTTTTGTTTGTAGGAAATACCATGCTCCTAGCGCATTATCAATAAAGTTGAAGCATGGAATCTCCCTCCAGACCTTAATTTGAAACTTTTGTTACTACATCTTCCCCACAGACTTGTCTGAGACAATAAAACCTTAAGTAGTAGTTATTCCAGTCTATCTAGGTCGAGCGATTCAAGACAACAACCAAACACGAATGACGTGCCAAGATGAAGGTTATGGCCGGCTATGTTCGACAGTACTACTTATTTGAGGTCTATGTTAAAAGTATTCAAACAATTTACAACAAGGTACTTGGGATAATAATTTTGATGAGGAGAAGGATACCTTCCCTAACGAATTCATCTTCATAAGCCATAAAATTTTATCTTCATCAAATCACTTAAGGTAACCGTCAGATTTGTTTATTACAAGTGGAATTAATAAAATGCAGTTCACACTAGCCAGCAAAATAAATTATATATATATATATATATATATATATATATATATATATATATATATATATATATATATATATATATATATATATATAATTCAGGTCAGTTAAGGTTACCAGGGACGATGTCAGTGTAAAGTATCTACAGATAGGGAGGTTTACTTAGTGTGTTCAGTAACCAAGGCGATTAGACATCTAAAGTTCCTATAATCTCACTTGTGAACCGGGGTATACGTACAGGTGTGAAAATATTTGAGGCATTTCCAGAGGCGAAGTAAGCATCGATGCAGCGAACAAAGGATGAGAGTGACTTTATCTCACGGACAGATTGTGGTAGAATGTTCCGGTCTCAAAAATTTCTTGACAAGGTGCTCCATATAGAGAGAAGATTTAGAATGAGATTGTTTCGCCAATGAAAAAGGGTTACGTATGCTATAACTAGGGATTTCTGCTTATTGAGTGTAAAGGATAGTTTGTTCAGTATTTTACAGAAAAAGACAAGATTAATTTTGAGTCTCCTCTTCCACAGAGTCGAGTTCAAGCATATTTCATCCAGACTTAAAATTTAAGGTACAAATAGTTCCAAGAATGCAGTGTAAACCGTCTTCAGACATATATCCCATCACACTAAGGACATAAACGCTGCCTGGTTTATTATAGTCTTCCATCGACGTTAAGAAAATCTAAACAACAATCCAGTAGCTTTGTAGGGCTTCATTTTTCGTCTTATACATATTAATTGACTGAGAACCATTCATTATAGTTCTAGCAGATTCGTACTTGACATAGAGTCTGATTACATTTTTAGAGAGATTTTGAAAGCCTTAGAATTAAAGCATTCATATAACAAAGGTTAGTGCTATAAAAAAATCTGTTTGAGGTACAGATTTTATCCATGACATCAGTATGAGAAGACACTATATTCTACAATTCTTCACAAGTCACTTAACTGAATGGAGCGGTTCAGAGGTATATTGTGACCTTCAATGACAACCATTTACATGATAACGTGGAAACTCAATAATGATATTTGAAATATGTTTTGTTTAAGTAAGTCGTCGAGTTAATAATAAAGATTACAAACTGTGTTTAATGAAACAAATAATTATGATATAATCCAACCACTGTGAATTGGTGGTATTTCAAATATTGAAATCTAAATATTAGCTAAGTACTAAAGAAGAGATAGATTATAGATAGCAGTGGAATTCAGGAATCGGTTTCCGTTTTATTTAGGACAAGTCGGCTAGATGTAGCTGCATTTCGGTGTTGATTTTCACATAAAAACTGGAACGCGGTGCATTTCGGTCTAAACACCGAAAGCTTTATCCATTCCTCCTGTAAAACTTTTCATGAAATAGCTATATCGAGAAAATTCACGCAGGATGCATATATGACAACTAAGAGTGATCAAAATCCAATCAAGAATATAAACAACAGAATAGCTTAAACCCTTACATATTAATTAGACACAATAAAAAATGGTTTTACAAAATCTATGCACGAGTACGTTGGAACAGCACATGTACTTACATTAAGAAATTTAAGTGTTTTACGTGATGAGAACAACTTTAATCAGATAGTGAATAAACTTTAATTAATTCATGTTTAATAAAAACCAAATAATTCTACGCAATCACAGAAATTCATATCGATATGTTAACTAATACAGAGCAATTCATTCATCCATATATATAAAGAATTTTAAATTTTCATTAACTCGTTGATTATAATTTAGTTTTCTGTGAAATCAAGTGGAAACAATTCGATTGGTGATCTTTTTTATCAGTAATAACTGGTTCATTTACATTGAACACACCAACGCCGAGTAAAATTATTAGAAAACATAAAATGTATAAATAATGAAAACTATGATGAAATATAAAAATATCCATCAATACAGCATAAACATCGGATGTAAGTAATGATAAATTTACTAGAATAGCAGATGAACGCATTAAAATTAATGGCATTAAAGAATATAATAGAAACATTGCCAAGGCATAACCAATGAAACAACTAGTAACTTTTGTTAAATCTATAGACGTAACATTAAACAGCATCATGCTGATTGAATGTTTCTCAATTGAAATAGTATAAATTAATGTTATAATCGATGCTGTTAAACCAACACAACTAAGAAATTCTACAATGCCATATTTTAGAACAAGATATTGTTGTAGAACATTTGATAATCCATATGAAATAGCTCCAATAATAACTAAGAAATCACCGAATACAATTTGTTTTGCAGTAAATAATTGATTGTTTACAGTGCTATTATATAATTGATTCAAATGGATTTCACTTGTATTGCCATAATGAACAATGTTCTGATTTGATGATTGTATAAAATAATCTGTGAGTATCATACCAGTAGCACCAATTAAACATGAAATTATTCCAATATAATGATTCCATGAATAGCGATAAGATAAAAAAAAATAACTTGATAATACAACTGTTGGTATAGTGATACAATCTAATGACTGAATACTAGTTACACTTGTATACGCATATGCAGTTACAATGGACCAATTAGCATGAACATCAATAATAGCAATTAATGAATAAAAGCTAAAACGAACTAATAATGATTGCATAAAAGTTTTCTCAGAATTAGGTAAAATAATAATTTGTTCATTGTCAATAATAGGATTACTATTATAATTTGTAATAGTTCTATCATTGATATTGTAATTTAAAGTATTACTAATCGGTTCATTTTTATTATTGTTATTATTATTAGAGTGAGTTAATTTCTTAAATAGATTAAAACAAAGATAAGGAACTCCATAGAAAAATAATAATAAAAAATAATGTGGAAAATTTATAGCTAATGGTAAATTTATATAATATTTAGAAAGAACACCATTACATATTGCAGTAAGACCAATCAGTATAGATAATAACTGTCCGGATATTATTGAGATACATGTTTTTTTTAATTGGACCGGAAGAATTTTTTGAATTTGACTTGTTCCCATAATGTAAGCGATAATGTGTGTAGATTACGGATGCAAAGTCGTCATTGTGATCAACAAAAAAGGACCATTGTGATTTATTTGTAACGGACCTAGTTTCAAAAGAAAATTATATCAGTATATGGTTTTGAGGTTATTAAGCTTTAATCAAGATCATGGACTTATAGATGTTAGAACACCACTGAAAACCTGAAAGTACTAAGCAGTCAACGATCGCGCAACGTCGCAGACTAGTTGAAGTTAGACATTAACACCGTTGGATGCCGGCTCAGTGGTCTAGAGGTTAAGCGTTCGCGCGTAACACAATGGGTCCTGGTTTCGAATCCCTCGTAAAGGATCGTGAATGCACACTGTTGAAGGTTCTCATACGAGGACGAGAAGGCCGTTCACAGTTCCCAGATTCTCAATGGTGGTCTTACATTCGTCAGTTCAGTATCTTTTTTGAAAAAGTAAAGACAGTTGCAAAAATAGAACATAGTAAAAATATAAACCAGACCAACTAACTACTGTTTCAATCTGTGCTACAAAAAATGGAAGAGCAAAAAAACATTTTCTGAAGTTTAATTTTTACTTCGTGATAGAATCCAATGACTTTTCACGAGATAGGAAGGGTTTCTATGAACTAGAAGTGTCGTGTCATTTAATACAGACATGATAAATAAACATGGTTGGAATACGACATATGACTGCCACCGCGATAATTCAATTCTATTGCTTAACTTGTGATCAGTTGTGTGATTAAATTGAATGACTTCATTGTTTGTTTACTTGTCTATCTATCTATTTGTTAATCATATTCATCTATCATATTGATGGATAGATTCTCAAAACACTCTGACTGATTGATACTTTGAACAGTTTGTATTAATTTCAACACGATGCAGACTAGACCAATCTAATATAATCTTGGATTCACCTCACTGCAATACAATTGTTGGATATTATATTGTAAGTGTTATTTCTATTTCAATACAATTGCTGGTACCAGTGCCAGTGTCAACATAAATCCGACTCAATTAAAAAGCTTAATTCTGGTGTTATTTCAATACTATTCCAGTCCAGTTATATTCACTCAGTCCTACTATACTTTGACCTTACTACTACTGTACATGCTATTTAATTAGACTACTGAAATACATATTCGAAAACATTTATACTTCAGTTCCTACATAATTTATTTATCCTTGATCATCGACTATAAAGATAACGAATGTAACGACCGTTCGTTTATTAACTATTTATTTTTTTAAAAGAGCTTTCTAATAACTAAAAGTTACGTATAACTATCGTGAATAGTTACTACTTACCTCTAACCAAGAACAAATCGTCCTTAGAACCACCAAAGTTTAAGGAAAAGATTTAGTTTCTCGGGTGTATTTGTTGACAGATAATTTTTGTGATTTGTACATAGTTTGGAACAGCTTTTTCATCTCGATAATTAAATACTTTTCACAAAGGCTTTGAATACTTTCTTAAGAATTTTAACTATTAAAGGTCTGTCATTAAACAGCTGGTTTAAGACGGATTTTTGATTAAATAGGTTATCAAGTTCATCTTTTACTGACACGGTCAGCAAAACGTCTATCTAAAACTCGATTTTAAAGGGGATATGGCGTGAAAAACTTTAACACGTCGACTCAAAAGATCGGTTGATAGGACATTTCACTCCTCCAAGTTACATGTAATCTCAACCAAACCAGTACTTGCACAACAAATCAAGGGTAGGTTAATGATAATGAGCTTCTCTATGTATGTATAACAATTCAACTGCTCCTGTAGAGCTATTTACATTTTCCATACCTGAACGGCTTTACCCTTGCGTGCTCGTGAACATGTATCAGCATGGTTTGGAAAGAAAGTCACCAATTTAATTAACAGAGCCATTTCTTCTTGGTTGGTAGATAGTGAACGTCATATTGAGATAGATGAATATTTCTGTCTAATATCAATTATGACTCCTCTAAACAGCTAAAGCTATCTCGACTAGCTCCAGTAAACCAAACTTATGTATCGAAAAGAGGTATATCCAGCCTCTATGTTTACTTAGGTCCACGACTGAATCACCAGATACCTAGACTGGATATTATAAAACTCTTAACCTTCCATACAAGTACTTTTTTGTTCATATCTTTACAGGTCAAACAGAGAGCCTGACGCAGGTGGAAGGTCCCATCTGAAGGAATCTGGTCGCAGTTCTTACCTGACATGTAGGAACAGATGCAACACAAAAATCTGAAGTGATATATGTGTTCAGACCAAGCTAGAGGCTAAAATGCAAGCTAACCCCAAATATCTCTGCAGATTCATGGCCAGAAGAAAGCCTACAAACCAAACGACCTGCTCTCTTAAATGGTCAAATGGCGAAGATCTTGCTAACTTGGAGATGGCAGATATCTCCAATCATCACTTCGTAGACCAACTAAACCAGGATCTAAAAGCACAGGACACTCCTCAACTCAAGTGGCAGTTGAGGGTCTGAGATACATCCAACTAACTCTCGGGTTAGTATTAAAGAGACAAAAATCCCTGCGCTTAGGTAAGTCACCAGTATGTAACAACATCCGTCTAATAACCCTGAAACAGTGAGAAGACATCGGTACATTGGTGTGTGACATGTTCAGGTATTCACTAGATTCACGCCAACTCCGAAGAGAACGGAAGCAGGCCACTTTCTCCAATATTCAAAAGAGAGATAGAAAAAACCTATCCTGTTCCAGACTAGTCGCATTACTCCCAATATAGTCGAAGGAAATGGAAGGACTGGTTAATGAAAAATGTAGGAATACATATATAAAAACAACACCCTCAATGAAGCCCAAAACGGGTTTTAGAAAGGCAGTTCATGAGCACCCAATCCCCTTACAATATGGAAACAAAGACAAAATCTTGAACTAAAATATTTCTGTACCGTTATGACAAAAGCAAATTTTAACGAAAAGTATGAATTTACACATAAATTGCTAGGATGGAAAAAAATGTTGACTTAATCGTAATAACTTGCCAGACAAATACGACAATTGTGAGTGAAAATTGATACAAGTTTCAAACCGTACTTTATGAACTGTTCAATACCCAATAACTTAACGTTTCATAGTCGGGTGGAATAAACGGAGTTTTTATTTGCAAAGCTTCTATGACGATAGTAGATTTGTCACCGATTCTTTCAGTTGGGGGCTTAGATGTTTCCTTCCAGTCTTGAGTCTTTATTAATGAGGACAGGTCAATCGATTCACATTAATCCTTGTAGTTTGTAATACTGCGAAGATCTAACCCCGCTTTGAATGCATCAACGGGACTTGCTGGTATTACGTACTCTCGTCGAGAATTTCAGTAATCAATTCTCAATGAAAAGAACGGAACTCCATACGTAAACGATTGTACCTCGACTTTTGAACTTTCTTGGAATGTTCTCTCAGCTGATAAGTACTAGATGAAATGAAATGAAATGATAACACATATTATTGCTAAAATCATCGTTCACTGTACAGTAAGCCACCATTAAATCAGCCAATAGCATGAGATGAAATAACTGAAATAGGTTGAAGCTACTCAGTACATCTTCATCAGACAGGACAGTGGGACCTTTCTACATTTTGCTCCCTCATCGTTAAACCCATCCCTGTATATCCGCCTCATACCTGAAACAAGGACTCACAGCTTCAATACCGTATTTCGAACGCCACCTAACAGAAGTACTATATAATACCATAAATATTTCGTTGTTCCAGAAATGAAATGAATCACGAATAGACCATGAGACCCTGAAGTGTTTGGAAGTGTTAACCTTACAGTAACTTGTAGTCCTGAGAGAGTTGGTTATATTGTGACTGCTACATTTCTACAGTCCATTATTTCGGGTGATACAATTTCACTTATTGCGTAATGATATGAATTGTCACAGTCATTTGTTTACACTGCACTACTGCTAAAACTGACTTCCAATGACCACATATTCATCCATTACGCAAGTGAATTCATTTATTTACAGTTGGTAAGTCATTTACACAAAGTTAAAAAGAGGACCAAGGAATGTGAAGATGGCACAGGTATTCAGTGTTTGACAACGCTTCTACCAGTAACATCTAATATAATTCGTAAACACCCAGAGAAATCAAAAGACAGAGTCGCGGAGATCAGAAGAGTGTATTTGGCGATAACCAATATATCGGAATTCTCTGATCTAATCTGGCTAGCGATTGCAGTAGCAGTTGAGCACGGCGTAACCACACGTGATCTGGTGCGGATGCCTGACCGAGCGCCTTCAGCCAGATGAGTCTACTAAAACATATGGTCAGCACCCAATGTCGGAAACTTACAGAGCTATTTATTTTGGGGATTTATTTACCCCTACAAATGTATCTCGTAGAGCTCCACTCACCACAACTTTACATAAAGCCCCGTTTACCCAAAACCGTTCTTTCCCTTCATCTAGAAAGTCATTTGTCCAGTCTATGACTTTCCAGTTTTAATTTAAGACCCACGCGAGAGACCTCATCAAAGGCTTTACTTTGATCTGTGCAGATTAAATCTACCGTGATACTACTATCATTCACCGTATTTAAATCTTCTAAAGTAATGAGATTTGTCAAGCATGAAAGTCCTTACGTCGAACAGTGTTGTTCACCGGCTAAAAGATCAATTCCATCCACACAGTTTAGAATACCCATCCGAATACTCTTTTTCATTAGTTTGACAATTACACTGGTCAGACGAACGGTTCAACTGTTACTAACTAAGTCTCTGCTCCCTATCTTATACACCAGACTGATTATTGCATCTTTTCAGTCTCTTGGCAGCCTGGACTGCCGCAAACTCATAATAAACAGTGTGACACAATACATCATGCACTTCTCATAACAGTGGCTTCAAAGTTAACTTTGTTTGACCTACCTTTATCCTGGCCCCTAAGCTACCTAAAGAATTGGATGTTTCTTACCGAGGTTAATAAATTGCACGCAAGTTCGGAGGTCAAAACATCAGAAATCCCACAAGGAAAAGTTTTAGGTCCAATTTGTTTCTTAAGCTTTATTAACGATCTGTTATATGAAATTAGCTCGGTGGCACTGATTTATGGTGATCCATAAAAAGTGAAATGAATTCACTTGAGCTTCAAAATGATTTAACAACAATGAAGGAATGGGCACTAGCCAATGGTTTAAGTGTAACCAGTCGTTAACATTCTCCCTCATTTGACAGAAACCACTCACACGTTCCGTGGAAATCCGCTCCTGATTGTCTCTCAAGGGCGTAATCTCGGGGTTTTAATCATAAAGAGCGTAAACAACCTTTCAAGTTACACAGAGGATGCATTGAAGGCAAACTCAACTCTTTATTTTATGCTCAGGCAACTCGGCTTAGTTATTATAGAGTTGTTCTTATCTCTATTTAGAACAGATCCATGGCCCCACCTTGATGTGTTTAAAACAGAAATCTCACGAGGACAGACTCCAGCATTTGGGATTATTCTCACTGATCCAAAGAAGAATAAGAAGTGATCTGATAATGGCATATGAAATATTAAGTACGCCAAGTCACTCAAACACGAGCATACTACCAGAACATCATCACCTTGCTCTTCCAGACAACCCTCGAAAGATTGCACATCAAAGAGCGAACACCCTGGTACGCTCTCACTTTTTCTCATTAAGAGTTGCTCCCAAATGGTATGCTCACCAGCCGAAATAACCGCAGTCCTCTTAGTAGATAAATTTGAAAGATTTGATAAACACGTACTCAACCATGGACTTTCATCCCCCTATTGTACCAGCCGTGTCTGTTGCACATCTCATAAATTACCACGATTATCATTGCCTCATGAACAATGACTATTTCCTATCTCTATTATTATCATCATCTGCGCTCCCCTCTTATGCTCTCAGTTATATCTTCTTACACATTTTTAAATAAATTATTTATTTATTCTTGAAACAATCATGTCTTAGCACTCGAATTACCACTTTATTATTTTCACATTACAACAAACTAACTTCCTTTCTGGTAATACAACAGCTGCTAGTATCCACAAACCCTACTGACCTGAGACAAACGCACTCACTCAACCACAAAATATACAAATCCTCAAGTAGTTACCACACTGAGTCGGATGGCTAGACTGCCACTTATTAGACATAACCAAATGCCTGGAACCGTACAGAAGCAACACGAAGTGAGCGCAAGGAAATCAACTGCTTTGTCCAAGCTCATGGCAAATATATTAGATATTGATATCAGTTCGTAATCGTAATTATTCAGAAATTTGTTTGAACTATAACCTGATTAATCGAAGAGTTCTGCTTATTTCAGAGATAATGGTCAAACAGTTGTAATATATCACTATTGTTATTTTGTTTGGCGCCGTTTGATTGACAGAGTTTCCAAAACTGACGGTATAAACAATCTGTCAAATAATTAAATTAACACTTTTATAGGTACAAAGCTCTTCATTTAAAGCCCGGACTCACGCACAAACTTATTTTTTTGATAAGCAATAAAAATAATTTAGGTAAATATTTATATCTACAGAAAAATGACAAACAATTCGTGATGACGTGACAGTTCTCAATCCTTATCCATTACTTCTTAAATTCAGGTGACTTGAGTAATTTGACTTATTGATTTAGCAAAGAGACCAGGGAATCAGTGAAAGCTCTCCACCGCTTAGAACATCTTCATCGCTTACATTATAAGCAAACTAACAAGATGCTAAAAGACTCAGGCAATTCAATGAAGATTTTTGAAATGAAATTCGTAATCCTTAATCTTAAAATACTTTTATTTTTAACAGAGACTGTAAAATTATGTTAATGTCTACAATACTGAGATTATCTACCTCATTTGGTACATGACCTCAAAGTACGCATGTGAGAATAATATCAGAATTCAAGTTTTGTTTGCTTTTGGTATTACAAAAATCATTTTAGCTATTCCTGAAGGTTCTAATCTTATCGATAACCCACTAGCCAGCTACACCTGTGTTATTGTTTCCGTTGGGACTCAAAATTATCACCTTTTAGCAACAACGACTTTCCAGTTCAATGTCAAAACAGAGAAACAGTCATAACTTTAACGACGATCAACAACTTTCAACAAGGTGATCATCATAATTCACATGCGTTGTTAGTAAAATAGATTCTATAAGCTTTAAACTGAGCCTGAAATACATCTTATGAAAAACAGCTGTATATTTTGTCTGTTCTAAAGCCGACACAGATTCGGATTAAGGAAACTCAACGCGTACATGAAAAAAACAGCTCAGAATGTAAAGAAACACAGACATTTATCAGCAAAAGCATACGAAATAAAGCCTTACAAACATTTTAAGAAAAACAAAAGGATAAAACAATCGTAACTATTAAAGCTAATGAAAAAAGTATAAGAGTTATTATGCATGAAATATATTATTGTGTAATAGTTGTAAGATATTTTAAGATAGGGCATTAATTGGTTACAAATAAGATAAAAATAATATAGTTGGTTCTTGATTCAAACTTAAATCATTATTATATCATTACGTATGATTTAAATTGTACCTCGAACCATGTGGTCCTCATGGTAATGAAAACTTCATAAGCCTAAACTTCGATTTATTTGATCGTGCACCCTACACACTCCCACATACTCATTATTTGAATATCTCACTTCTGTACTAAAAGCTTTTAAAAACTTGATAAGTATTTTAATCACATACATATATTTATGAAGCAGATGTCTTTTATATCTATTCACTTATGAATTCGTTTAAACTATTTTTAAATCCAACTCTTTTCACATGCTAAAAATAACTGCATAAGAAACTGCATGTAAAAAGTGCATAAAAACATGGAATCCAAATAATCTGAAATCTCTCAAAGCTACCAATTTAATAACCCCTTATTTTTGTTAGATTGATTAGTTTACTAAACTGAATCATAGGACAGCATGCAGATGAAAACAAAACAATACTATGCTAACGACTTTGAGCAACTTAATTAGTTTATCAGAAATCAGATAATACAAATGAACAAGTTACCACACATAACCCAAGAATTTAAAATGTTCAGTCAATTTC